GAAGCATCTGTAAAATCTATTAAATTTTATCAAGTTTTGTATCAAATTGTGTATAAGTTAATTACCTCCAAAAATCAGAAATCACTCAGGTCATCTCTGTTCACAAGACGATATAACCCGATTAAATTACAAAAGTTGCAAAAACACATGTAATAAATTCAGCATTTCCACTAAGTTAGATTTATTCCATAATCAGAAAATGTTTCCTGATATAAATCGTCACATCGGATGTTTAAGAAAAATCACATGAAAATTCTGACAGATTAGTAATTATCCTAAACATTTTTGCTCTCATTTCTGATTATGAACATCTTCTATAAACAGAATAAAACTTTACTTGCTTAAGTTAACTAAAATTCTCTCTGTGATGCACCAGAATGAAAAATAAAATATTTAATCTATAAATGCATTGCTAATCACACAGAAAATATACGCTATACTTAAAATGATAAGAAAAGCCTGGGCCTCTTCCCACTGCTCACTCCTGGATTAAAAACAGACACAATGAACTATCCTGAAAACTGCTTATCTTTCGTCTAATGATTAAGAACTGATGTTTGAGATCATACCACAAAACCACGCATCACGAAAGTACTTATTATGTAGAAACTACAGGAACTTAGTTTGGGTAAATACCTTGCCACTTTTTACCTTAGTGAGTATAAATATTCTTTAATTTCCTCCTCTTAAATATACTTTATTTATTTAGGGACGCATATATTTTCAGGGACACCAAGGTGAGTCTCTTGGAAGATTCAAGCAAGTAAATTATTTTCCTCTGTGATAAGTACCATAATACTACTACTGATAGCAGCCAGCATGTACTGATTTTTTATTATGTACACCACCATGTTCCAGGTACTGTTATTCTAAATTAACCTGATCCTCCGTAAAACACCAAGGATGACTTTTTTGTTTCCTCCCCCTTCTTCTTTCTGAGAAAGGGTTACATAGGGAAAATAAATCTGGACTCTGATTTGCTTATTGGAGCACATTTTGTATTGAAGGAAAGACTTTGGAGTCTGAAAAGTTGGAGAAGCTATACAAATGAAGAAGTATCCATGTTGTGATTTCAAGGTGATAATTCCTACTCCATGGGGTTATTACGAAGAATATTGAGAGAAATTCTATATGGCATTTATGATAGTACCTAGGAATAAAGGTAGAACCCCCAGTACAATATCATCTTTTATTTCTCTATTATTAACAGTTAATATTTTGATGGTTCATAGTTATCTTTATGGAATAAAACTAAGGAACTAACTCCTTCAATCCAGATTTGCTGTAAAAAGAGCATTTTACACCCAATTTCCTGAGAAAGGAACCACAGAGGAACCTCATTCAAATCACTTCCCCCTCCTTTTCTTATATCTTGGAAAGTGACGGAATCATCACATCCAAGACTCAGTTTATTCTCCCAACAGGGAAGACCTCATCTGTAGCTTTATGATACATAAAAGTAAACTGTTTACACAGCCAGTTGCCAGCTAACATTTTCCACATGTGAGGACTGCTAGATGAGTAGTTCTTCTCTTTTGCTCTCACTGAGATGAAAAGACACCAACAGAGTAAAGCACTAGTGTACATTTCAAAAGGTGTATGAAGAAGAATTTTTAAATGAATAGAATGTCAAATAAGGCCTACTTTATTTCCCTATGCTAAGACAAAATCCCTATAATTTTCTTCCAACGAGACCACCTTGGATCCTAGCTCTGATTGATGCCAATATAATCATTATGACATAGAAAACACAAAGGGAATTTCAGTTTAACCAACTCTGTATTATTGAGATACAACTTATGATATATTTATTACAGTATTTCAGAAGAAAAAGTCAAGACTGATTATAGGTTCTAAAGGTGTCTTTTAGTAGAGTACATGTCAATCTGGAGATAATTACAATGTGTTTTCTATTGAATATCAACATATTGTCAATGTTGGAAAAATTATGTCACAATGAAATATATTTTAGCAAATTCTTAAAAATTAACATTCTCCTTTATCATCCTTATTATTTAATGTTATAGTGTATGGTATGGGGTTATTGATAGGATAGCAAGTATAACTATGGAAAAGACAGAACAAGGTTTTCTATGTTCATTGAAAAAGAGAAGCAACTGATAAATTAGTAAAAATGATATCTTATCTTTCAATGTAAATAATCTGAGTTCAAGGAATTATTTACCCCTCTCCTTTCAATTTTTATTGAAGTAGCAAAAGAAACAGAAAAAGTAAGAGTGAACCTGTATCTGCACTAGAAACTAAGACTGCAAACACGCAAGGAAGTGATTTCAACAACATCAAAAACAAAACAAAACAAAAAACCATGGTTCCAAATCTAGGTGATAAATAGAGTTATTTGGGGAGTTTCATAACAATACAGTAGAATTTGGGATGTATATAATTTTGTTTATTTATTTCTTTAATTTTTCACTTCTCATTTATTTTGATGATCAGACAACTTTGAGAATGGCTAGTATGAGAGAAATCTGATTGTGGGAAAGGTCAATTCTACTGCAGTTGGCAATATAAAAAATTGATTAATTAAAAAAAGTAATCCCAGAGAAACATTCTCTAGCTTTCATAACATGGAGTCATTTGGGATATTAGAATAAAAGATACATAAGATACTTGCAGGTGGAAAGGCAAAACTTATTCCCTGGGAAGTTTTATGAAGAGAACCTAATGCTAATGTCAACAAAACAGTTATCCCTTGAGGCACATGTTTTACCTCCGCCTTAAATTTAATGTGATTGGCAAATATGGCTTATTTTGGCTGGCTAATAAAGAGATAGTCATATCTGAAAATGGTAGCACATCACTAAGATTCCTGGGTCTCCATAACAAACATAGAAATTAAATATTGACAGACATTCAAGCTTGTTGCTTTTCTTTCTTCATTATTTCTATATATCTAGGTATTTAATTTTTAAATTATTAAACTGTAATAACTTTCTCTGTGTCTTTCAACTGTCCTAAAAGATTTTGAACAAGAATCCATAAAATTGCTAACAGAGCTTGCTGAATAAATACTGAACAAAAACAGATTCTCAACTCACCCCAACCTACTCTCCTCCCAAATTCTAAGATATGTAAAGTGATTAAGTAGTTTAAAAGAGAATCACCAACTTAAAAAATCAAAACAAGATCCTCCAGATAAACAATTACTGAAAGAGAAAATTTAGCATCTAGAATTCCTCTTCCCAATAAGATGTGAAACAACATAAAGTCCACCAAGCTGAGATCAGTAGGTTTGAAACTAAACTCATAATTGTCACATTTTGAATGTCAGAGGCATTAAATAGCAAGTTGAATAATGCAGAAAACTAAATCAGACAGTGTGGCAAGACTCTTGAAGAGTTCTTAGAGAACTCTGAAGGAATACAAAATGTTACACAAGAAAAGATAAAAGATAAAAGACTGAAAGAAGAACCTTCCATCCATCAGTTAAAAAAAAAAATATATACCAAAAAAAAATTAATTCACAAGAGTAAAAAGGAGAAAAGACATCCAGAATCCTATCAGGTACAAGGTACTATTCCAGCAACAGGTACCTCAACATCTCTGACCTCACCACTATACGATTCATCCATGTAACAGAAAAAATTGTACCCCCTAAATCTATCAAAATAATTTTTTTTTTAAACCTACTTCACTGGTATTTCTGCTTTAGAGTGAGGCATGCTGAAGCTGATGGAAGGACAAAGGAAAATAAATGGCAGAAGGACAACGTCCCCACTTGAAATTTCAGAAGTCCGTGAGGACAGATCTGGAAGTTTCAGTGTATACTAAGAACAGCTCTGGACTCATTTAGGGAGAGCAGTTAGGGGAAAATATCAATGTTTAAAAATTTCAGGCAAATTTTCTGAGTAAATAAAACATATTGTTTTTCAATTAAAATATTACATTATCATTAATTTTTACATAAAAATTTTATTTAGTGCTTACACACATGAAAATACATTAGTCCCTTAGATTATAGCATTGAACATGACATACCCATTACTTTGGGGGCTGAGGTGAAAGCTGCTGCTCCATGAATTAATATAAATATATTGGAGACAGGAAACGTCTCAGGAGTTTTGCAAAGCTTTGCCCTGAAGGAATATGTGAACATGTTAGTTTGCATATCGAAAGCTGTTTTACCTCAGGAGGGCATCTCTGAAAGACAGTAGTGGCTGAATCCCACAAGGTGTGACGATTCTCAGACCTAAAGGTTTGGATTTGCTTTGTACAGCAAAGCAAATCTGTTATAAACTGCAGGATGAGAGCTGATCAAAGAGTGCTCACCCAAACAGCCACCTGTGGCTATAAACAATTAGCCCAAGGGACAGTTCCTGTTTAAAACTCTGGACTACCTGTCTTCATTCACAATAACCTGATAAAGAAAATATGGAGCCAATGTATCTCTGTTTAACCCCTCTCTTAAGTGATAAATTTACCTTAGAACTTAGAAGTTAATTTTTGAAAGATTTTGTAACCATTTGTTCATGTAGATAGAATTAGTTAAGGGATCTGTAGAAGCCTTTTGAAAAACTGTTAACCTAAGAGGAACTACCTGCTGTTATGTAAATCTGTTACTCCTGGCAACTGATCACTGTACCTGTAAATGACCATGTAAAACTTCACTCGTGGCCTCTGAGATTGACGGAGAAATCCAGGCCCCTGAGCACCCACTTTGCCTATAATCTTTATAAATCTATAAAACTACACGTTCGTCTCTGTATATTCTTTTATTTCCATTATTTTCCATTTTCTATTATTTTCTTATCCTTTGCAACCCTACCAAAGGGATCCTATTTTTCGCAGGGAGCATGGCCGCCTCCCTGCAGGAAGCTTACAATCTTGTGAATTGTACAAACAGGTAAATAAATTATTATGCCATTTAATATCTGTGTAACCTTGATTAGGTTGCTTAACTTTTCTATGTTATTTCCTCAATCATAATTGAGGTAATTTAATTTCAACTTGTGTTGTTTGGCTATCGTCAATTTAGCATCACTACAGCATCTTTCCAAGGTCTCGCCTGCATTTCCCAAAGGCCTTTCCCCATATGTTTCTATGTTAGGGTTTGCCAACAAAAGAGGCTTGTGTGAGCTTTAGAAGACAGAAAGTAGGAGAAACCATTATTCTCTGGAGGCAGCCACAGCCAGACAAATGAGCAGATTTCACTGCATCTTTTCAAAGATCACAGGAGAACTACCCGCTTGGCTGTTGCACACAAAGGCAATTAGTGAGCTTCACATAGAACCTTTAGCATTGCAGTAGTTTCCAAGACAGTTCTTGGGAGCTTTTGGCTGAGATTTCTGGTAGCTTTTCTGAAATTTTTTGCTAGATTCCTTGCCCTTCAGAGGCAGCTTCCCTGACCTTCCTTTTCACAGTTCTAACATTTCCGTAAGCCGTTATTCCTATATTAACTCTTTCATACCTGGGAAATTTAAAGTAGCTTTTGGTTGATGTTGGATCTTAGACTGTTATGGTTTTGGTAACAGGAGTGAGGTTGATTTGCCAACTCCCGGCACATATGTGTGTTAGCAAAGCTTCTGGGTATTTAAAACCTTCTGCTTACGAGTCCAATCAGTGTGATTGCAGATCGGCATGTTAATAGCTACACACCAGATGTTAGGGGCTATCCAGAGTTATTCTGGTAAGAAGAACAGATTTGGAAGAGTAGCTATAGTTGGAAACAATGTGAGATAGTTCTTGATAACTCACTAATATTCTGCAAGATCTCCCAGTGTCTTCACGGTCCAAACAGCCCAGTTCAACAAAGGTATGATAGGACTCTTCACCCCTTCATCTTTAACAATTTTCAAGATAGCTCTGAACTTGCCAATTTCTCCAGACATAAATCCACAAGAAACAACAGCAAACAGGGCACCATGATCTCTTTAATCAGACAAAGCAAAGAACCAATGAGTGACCCTAATGAAATGGTGATATGTTAATTCTCTAACCAAGAATTCAAAAATAGCAATTTTAAGGAAACTCAGTGATCTCCAAGATAAGAGAGAAAAGCAATTGAGAAATTTATTTGAGAAACTTAACAAAGAGATTAAAATATTTTTTTAAAAAAATATAATTTTTGGAAATGACATATACATTTGCTGAATTTTAAAAAATTCGTTAGTCTCTCAATGGCAGAATGGATCAACCAGAGGAATGAATCAATGTGCTCAAAGACAGGCTATTGGAAAATACACAGTCAGAGGAGAAAAAAGAAAAAAAGAAAGAAAAGGAATGAAATTCACCTACAAGACACTGAAATTACCTCAAAAGACCGAACCTAAAAATTCTTGGTGTTCAAGTGGTTTGTATTTGAAAAGCACACCGAGTTGGGGGACTCCTCCTGAGGAGGAGTGGGTGAGAGACAAGAAGGCAGAAGGCCAAAGTAAGGTGACTCAGGCATATTGACAGGGTGTCCAGAATAAGATGTGTCTGGAATATGCATTTAGGACAGATGTTAAAGCACCAAGTTTACAGAAGCTAGAAGCATGGTTAATATATTCATAGATTGTTCTAGAGAGGATGTTGTAAAAGAAACTAGGCCACAAGCAAGTGGACAGTGACAGTGTTATAACTCCATTCAAAGATGGTTCTGGAAGACTGTAGTAAGGGGAAATCCCAGTGTACAAATCTTTAAACAATGTACCTGGCCGTTTACTTTGCCTGGAAAGAGATTGCTAAGTGTACAAAATCTATGTTGATACGTTAGCTAACAAGGTTTTCTGAATTTTCAGGGATTTGGCAAAAATAATAATGATATAGCTAGATGGCCAAGGCTTGGAAGGAACAAAGGTTACAAAATGGATGACAAGAGAATCTGGAAAAGAGATATGTGCATGAAACTTTGGGAGTGGTCAGAAAATATGAGAATGATCATGTCCCATGTAAATGTTCATTGAAGGAGAGCAGCAGAAGCTCTCAATAATCAATTGGATTAGGTAACATGTACTGTTAATGTAGGTTGATTTTTTTTCCCAATGGTCTCATGAGCAAAGTTGCTAGGTGATAGTGATGGAAGTTATGGGTTCAGTGACATGGTTTTTCAATCAACAATCCTGATCTGTCTCTAGTCACTCTTTAGTGCCCTTATTAGTTATCTATTACTATGAAAATAAACCACCCCAAAACTTAGTCACCTAAAATAATCACAATTTTACTTAGCATATGATTCTGTGAGTTAGATGGCATTTTTTCTTATCCAAGCTGACTTGCTGATTTCTGCTTGTCTCTCTGATAAATTTCCAGAGATCCAAATGGTCATCTGGTGTCTGGAAGATCTAGGATGGCCTCACTCACATTTCTAGCAGTTATCAAGCTGTTGGTTGAATTGATATGGGCGAATGGGCCACATGTCACCCATTATTCTGCAGGCTAGCCTGGGCTTCTTCACAAGGTGGCAGACATGTTCCAAAAGTGGAAAGTGAGAAATTTCCAATTTGTGAACATTGCACTGGCCTAAGCAGATCACAGACTGGCTCAAACTGAAGAGAAGGGAAAACAGACTCCAGCTGAGAGACACAATTCAAAGTCAAATATCAAAGGAATATTCATACAGGGATCAGGTAAACTCTTATTTCTTTGAACTAATCATGGTTCTCAAATTTTAATTTGCCACAGTGTCCAACCTGCCAACTTCAGTTCCCAACATAGTAATGCACACTGGTGGCAGGTTTATTACGTTGGATCTCTTCAGTTAAGAAATGGGCAGTGAATTTTTCCTTCCTGAAAGAGAACTAACCCAAACATGGATTTGCCTTCTTGTTCACAATGTTTATACTAAAACTATATCATTT